ATGCGTGCCTTTCCACCAGGCCAGCTACAATGCCAACAACTTCCATTAACTCTTTCTTCAAACACAAGTTATTTTGAACCATGACTCTTTGTCTCCTTCCTGGAGTTAGCTTTCCTCAAACATGGGGTGGTTCTTCTTTGTGGGATCATCTTTTTCTGCAAGAATACTCAAACAGCAGTAACTTCCTATCACCCACTTTTCAGGGTTTTCTCAATTTCTCTCCTGTGAAGAGCTTCCTTACCCTTCTCATTTTCAAATGTGGAGTGTGTGCATTTGTGTGTGCATTTTATGTAATTCTTGTGGATTTGAGGTTTGGAGAGGAAAGATAGAGCATTTGTGTAGCCCACCCTATTTAAACTAGAAGTTATCTTGCAATCTCTATATAATCTAGTATTTGGGATGCTATATAATACTTCATTATCATATAGTTTGATTTTCTTAAAAACTTTCCCTTATAGTAGTCCAAATTCAATTTCCACTAAACTCTACTCACTGGCCCGAAGTCCATCCTTTCTATCTATAATGAATACAGTATATCTAATTTGAAGATAACTCTCATGTTCTTCCTTTTAGTTCTCTTCCCCAGGCCAAACACATTCAACTACTTTCAAAAATTCATGACCAGTCATATAGCTCCTTCACCATTTTAGTTTTTGACTACCTCCTGACCTTGTTTTTATATGCAAATTTGTTCAATGTGCTTTTTAAAGTGAGCCTCTGGAACTGAACAAGTGTAGGCAGTTCTGACCATTACAGAATCCGATAGGAATATTATCCCCCTAGTTCTAGATAGTCTATGTCTAAAAGCACAATTCAACATCCCCACACCATTCTTTAGACACATATTGAGGTACCAGTACAACCCTTTCCTACTTTGCTCCATGCAGCCAATTCTCTCGCTCCCCTATTCTGTACCTGTGCATTAGTTTGAGGGAATTTAGAATTAGCTGCCCTGTTAGATTTCATGTTATGTTTAGGCAAGGGCTGTAGTCAAGATCAGGGACAAGCACCTTATATCACTAAGTGGTTCCCCTCCCCAACCCCCAACCTCCACTACTTATGAACATTTGGGGAGAAGGGAACTCCATTCCAGGAACATTACTCATATACTTTCACTGCCTCTGTAGAAATGCTGAATAGAGCCATCAATTTGGAAAATCTATTGTCTGTGAGTCTCTGACTCCTTTAAACATTTTTCCTGGTTGACTGAGTGTCATTTATCTACGGAGCACCCCTCCCTTCACTGCTGAGAAGTTAAAACTTACGTTCAACTTATTGCACAAACTTGATTATGTTTTCGACAAAATAATTAGGTTTCTTTCTCTGTTCGAACACAATGCCACATCCCTCTAAAGACATTAGAGTGCTAAAGAGAAATCCTTATAAAAGAAACTTTTGTTCGGCCTTTTAGGAACTTCCATAGGTCTTGTCAGTTTCCTCAGCCCACTCACCGCGCCAGCCGAGAGCACAGGCAGGCCAGGTGGCAGGAATGCTAACCAGAGCATTGCGCCTCTTTGACAGAAACACTCCCAGGGCCAACCTACATGCACAATGATAACAAAGCGGTCCCTTCCCTGCTGCCTTCAACAAAATCCTCAAATTAAATTTGGAGAGTATATTATGTTCTCTTAAGTTTTAACAAAGAAGGGAAGAGAGTAAAATGATCTCAAATGTAGACTAGAAGGTCATCGCCCCCGAAAGGCAGAGCATCTTGTTCCAGAATATTCTCTTGCTGCTCCACATTTGAACTTTGTCTTTCAGTACAGAAAATTTTCAAAAGGTCAGACTCAAGTTGGGTACTCAAACACAAAACAAAATAATTATCTGATGAATTCAATTAGTTATTCTACATAATTAAGGCTCCTGTACTTTTTTCAGGTGATTTTTCTTAAGGTCATTCTCTGCATAATTCCCACAACTTTCCATTTCTTCTTAGCTGAGAAATGTGTTGTTTTGAAAAGAACCTTATGGATGTAATATCAAAGATTTTCCTTACACCGCTTTGAGGGAGGGGAGAACTTTTACCACTGCCTTTTAATTTTTCCCCCCGTAAGGTCTGTGCTTAAATAGCCTATTACAGTATTTATTATATGTGGGAAGGGCACTGGACGAATGATTGTTTCCACATTGCAACGAGTCAATCATCAATCTAAAAGTTAATAAGAAAAACTAAATCAATTTTAAACAAGTGGATCATGTTAAAAGAGTCAAAATGATGTTTCACTTGCTAGTTATGGGCGTGTTGATGTGCTCCTACACTTTCAGAAATAGTGAAGTCAATATTGTGAAATAATAATGAAGGCTGTTGATTTCATCACTTATTAAACATCTTAGTATAAACGTTAATTTTGGCTCTCCGACCTGAAACATAATACAAGATTACTTGATCTGTTCATTTTCTTCCTTTTGCACAATGGGGAAAAAATTAAATGCCTGGGCATGAAAATCATTCTTAATATTAAAAAAGAGAAGAAAAGGGGGGGAAAAATCTAGTAAACGCCTTAAATAAAAATGAATACTGTGCAGACATAAGCCTTATTAACTGTTCCTTGGCATCATAGTTATTTATGTAAAAGTCTTTATTGACAACATAAATCCACCATTTCGTTATTATTTGCTGCCAATACAATGAACATTATAAACAAGAAAATAAGGAATTCATTTCAGAATTATAACTAATGAGACACCAAAGTTTATTTAAAACACTTGTGGCATCACTAAACTGGTGTAAAATGCCAACTTTAGAGCTAAAAAGAAATCCAGCGCAGCCCTCTCTGTCCTCAGTCTGAGCTGCACTGATTTCCCCTGTGTTTTAATAAATAAAAAAGATAAACCTGGGACTTGGAAGCCTCCAGAGAAGAGCACAAATTACAACAGTTACACCAAAAGCATAGAGTGGGAAGGACTGAGAAGCAGATGGAAGAAAGTGAGACTTGCTTAAGGTAAATTTTCAAGCAATTGAGAAGACAGAGTTACCTAGGAAATGTCTTTACAACTATTTTTATGTGCTCTATTTATTAAACTGGTCTGGGCACTAGAATACTTGCATGATTTAGAGACTGTTATTAAACACTACTAGAGAATGAACACACACACACACACACACACACACGTACATACATGAATGTCCCCACCTGCTACGTGGCATTTCTTTGTCCATTTCCACTTACCTAAATTCCATTGCCAGCGGTTTCCTAAAGTAGAAGACCAGTATTACATCAAGGTGAAATAACTGAAACTAGGTATGTGACCTCTTTTAATCTTCACCCCCGGAATACAACACTAAAGATTTAATTCCGCAGAGATGCCATTATGCTACCGTATCTGATGGTATCAGATGTTTGGGTTTTTAGTCTCTACTCCAGCAGTCTTTTCCTGATACTCAAATTTATGGTGATAAATGTCTCCTTAATTTGCACAACAGTTTTCAATTGCCCTCATGGGAGACCACCTTGAAGGAGCGAGTAAAAGGTTTAGTCATGGTTTCTATTTTTCTATTTGAATCAATACACTCTAGTTAAATGGACAATTAATAGGTCACTTCCAAAATGGTAGTGTATCTGTCCTGGTTAATAAACAATCCCCACAGTTGATAATGGGCCCTATGTATTCAGCAAGTCCTGTATACACTCAGCTCATCCACTAAATCCCTTTTCAGGTGGACAGGGTTATATGGGAAGATGAGCTAGAATGAGTCTATAAAAGTCAGTTTCATTCACTGCTTTATTTTTCAGTCAAGTGCTTTAAATGGTGTCCAGAAATTCACTTGGAATGTGAGACAGGAGAAAAGACTGGCACACAGAGCCTTGCTTTATGACCATACAAAAGGGCAACTGACCCTTGCCCAAGCCTTTTCCATGTGAAATGGTTCCTAAAGTTCATCTGCACAGTGAAAAATCGTGGTGAGGTCGCGTGTGGATGAGTCAAGTGAAAGTGACAATTGGTCACGGGTCTGTCACCCATTGTGGCTGGTCCCGGCCATGTAAAGTGCTCTGTGGGAAAGTACCAGCCCCCTCAAGAGGTGCTCAGAAGCTTGCAGCTCATTAAACGGCCAGCATTTGCTGCCTCACTTGTCAAGAATCATTCCGTCGAGCAACCGCCCTCCTGAAACGTTCATAAAACACAGGCGGGGAGGTGGCGGGGCTCTCAACTCAGCCACGGTGGAGCTCTCACTTGAGCCTGATTCAACTCATACTTCACTTTGCACCTGACAGAGCTGTTAACCTGTATAAATATTTTCTCTTGGGTAGCGGTAATGAAGGCACTCCTCCACAGGACTTCTTTATCATCAACTCAAATTCTCTGCCTACAGATTCCTATCTAATTCAGGAATCTCAAGACTAAGGTGAACTTTACTGACTTTTAGTGAGACATTCTTTTTTTTTTTTTTTTTTTGCATGTGTGAGCATGTGTGTGCACACTCTGTAAGTTTTTGAAAGCTGTCATTCTTACACCATTACTGGACTCTTTTAAAATTTTGCAGTGTTTGCAGAAAAGTTCTCTTGCAAATATTTCCTATGATGCTGGTTGTTTTCCTCAGGATCACAAAGAGCAGGGATTTATTTTTACAATCTTAATGATTTTAAAAATATTTTCTACAGACACATAGTGACTTTCAGTGTCACATTTTAAGCTGAATGGAAATTTTACACAGCACAATTTCTTAGCCTTCCTTTTTTCTTCTTTAAATGGGTATTGCTACACATTTCAGAAAGAGCCAAACTGGTCCCTCTGAGGTCTTTTATATCAAATGGAAAACAAGTCGCTTTCCTTGGTGTGTCAGCCCTGGGTTTCAATGTCATTAGAAACCGCTCACAATTGCTCAGTGTGCTGAGGTTTGATAAATCTCTGGAAACCTCCTGAATGGGATCGCTGTGATTTTTAGTGAGGAATTAGCTCCTTGCCATTGCATTACCAATTAGTTTTCCAGAGCACATTAAATCCTGCTGCTCTGGTTTACAGAACAACTGAGGCATTGCTGATGAAGCATAAAAACTTACTTGGAAAAGCAGTGGGGGATGCAGGGCGCCGACAGGACCCACCGCAGCACGCGGAGTAGAATGGCGGGGCGCTCAGGAAAAAGGGTTTGGAAGGCGCTGCAGAGAGAGCATTGATCTCATTGATTAGCCATTTCTTTTAGACAATATCCAAAATTCCAGTTTCCCAAAGGTCATTGAGGAAAAGCCCTTCATTTTCTGAGCTTTTACTTAGGTATCACTCTTTACAAAAGTAAAGTCCTTTTAAAGTAGCCTTTAACTGTCAAAGAGCTTGCCAAATAATTTAATCAAGATTTGGAAGATGTGAAAAGACTCAAATTATCAAAACCAAATGTTAATAGTTCATTTTCTGTGTGGCCATAATTATATGTAGTATGTATCATATATCAAATATTCCTTTATTTAAAATATCCTAGATCAACATTATTCAAGAGAACTGTCTGTGGTGATGGAAATGTCCTATATCTGCACTGTCCAAAATGGTATCTACTTGCCACATATGGCTATTAACCACTTGAAATATAGCTAGTAATACTGGGTAACTAAATTCTTAATTTATATTATTTTAGGCTTAAATAGACTCATATGGCTAGGGGCTATCATACTGAATAGCACGGCTCTAGATATATAAATAATACTTGCCAAGAAACAATTTGAATGCTAAGTGCTTAAATGTAATTTTTAAAAGAGATTATATTACTCTACTGTTTACTTTCAGAAGGTTCTATATATAGTTGGATTCCAAAGTTTATAATAGTTAATTTACTGAGCAATTCCCTAACAAAAAGCAGTTTTTCTGATCACTTTTACATGTTTAAAAGTATTTGAAAAGAGTAGTAACATTTTATCACAAGAGAAATCTAGTTAACCTGAAAGCATTAATGTTTATAGTATAGGGAGTTACTATGTAATTCTGCTCTGCTCATTTTATTAAACTACGCTGTCCCTAATATTTTCAATACATATACATAGGCTGGTTATCATACTCTTGTAAGTAAAGAAATTTTAAATTCTTTTCCTTAGTAGATGAAAAATGCTACAAAAGATGTCATAGAACATTAATAGCTCTTTTTTAAAAATTGATTTTAAAAAGAGAGAGGAAAGGAGAGAGAAACATCAATTTGTTGTTCCACTTAGTCATGCATTTATTGATTGATTCTTGTTAGTGCTCTGACCAGGGATCAAACCCCCAACCTTGGCCTTAATATCTCTTTTGTATTGAGCACTTACTGCACCCCAGCCTTTGGGTAAGTATCTTAAATACATCATATCCTTTGGTATAATGAGGTTTAATACAATATAAATATGGGTGAGAGCTCCTGAAGGTAGACAATTTCCTTTTACCAAAGCATACCCAGAAGAAAACCTAGCACACTCTAAATAGTCAATACATTTTCAATAAATGGATAAATGATCTGCAAATCTAAGAAACAGGAGACTTCTGATTTTCTTAGGTAAAAAAAACAGGATCAGGAATTAACCCTTTCCCTATTCCCCTGACACACACTGAAATACAGTAACTTCCATAACAGATGCCCTGGAAATCTACAACATGAATTTAAACTAAACGTTTTCATTACTCTCCCTCCATATCCAATGGCAACTCTTTTCTTAATTATATATAGTCAAAATTATTTTGATACAAATGCATACCTTCTTTTAAGAACACAGTAATTTCAAACTTGTATTTTAATCAATTGATGAGCACATATTTATTTTTTCCAATGCCACTGAAGGACATATCAAAATAAGTCTATTGTCAAATAAGAATTTTATAGTCTCTGGTTCTGTAATGCCTTCAAATTGCAAGTTACTTATAAATACAGGTTTTTTAAATAAGTAGTCAATGGAAAGCAGTCAACATTAATGTTTTTATTTTTAATGTTTATTTTTTAAATGTTTAATGGTTAACATTATTTTTAATATTTTCTGCCCAAAGTGGCACATATTTATTATTTTTATTATGTATTATGTATTATGTATTATTTATTATTATTTTATTGTTTTGGTTTTTTAAAAGATGTTATTTATTCATTTTTAGAGAGAGGAGAAGGGAGGGGGAAAGGGAGAGAAATATTGTTGTGCGATAGATGCATTGATCGGTTGCCTTTCACACACCCCTAGCTGGGGCCCTGGCCCGCAACCAGGCCTGTGCCCTGACTGGGAATCAAACCAGCAACCTTTCTGTTCACAGGCCAGTGCTCAATCCACTAGGCCACACCAGCCAGGGCTATTATTTTTTTTTTTAATCGAATTTCTATAGTCCATTAACCTGACAGCTTTTTTTCCCTGTATCTTTTTTTTTATTATTCCTGTTTATTCTATTACAGTTGTCCCAACTTTTCCCCCTTTGAATTCCTCCACCCAGCTGACCCCCAAATCCCACAGTCATTCCCCACACTCTTGTCCATGTCCACGGGTGTTCATATGTTCATACATGTTCTTTGACTAATCCCTTCCCCTTCTTTTCACCATCTCCCCTGCCCCCCTCCCCTCTGGCAGCTGTCCGTCTGTTCCATGTTTCCATGGCTCTGGTTCTGTTTTACTCCTTAGTTTATTTTGTTCATTGGAGTCTTCTTATAAGTGAAATCATATGATATTTGTCTTTCACTGACTGGATTATTTCTTTTAGCATAATAGTCTCGAGTTCCAACTATGCCATCGCAAAAGGCAAGAATTCTTTCTTTCTGCTGCATAGTATTCCACTGTGTAAATGCACCATAGTTTTGAAAGTACAACAAAAAGAAGTATTTAAAAAGATATATTTTGGTGTGCAAAAAGTTTAATAAAACTTTTTCAAAAATTTCATTATTACCATAAATTGTTCTAATACTGACTGTAAAACCATTACAGAAATGTCATTTCATTTAGATTTAACATATTTTGTCACAAGAGCATGGCATTATATGGAAAGGGTAACATCTTCCATTATTTCTATGAATATATTATGTACTTGGAAAAATAAAAATATATTTTGTGCATAAAAGTTGCCTCATTGTGTTTATTCTCAAGAACTTCTTTTAGCTAAGTTATTTCATCTCCAAAATTAACACTCTATAGATAATTAAGTTATGGTTACTGTGCTATTTGGCATTTTTAGAATAAAGATAAAAGAAAAAGAGTCAACAATGTTGCACTTACACAATTAAACTTCTATCCTGATAGCTGGAAATACACAAAAAATATTTTTGCTCAATATAAAATATAGAAAGTTAGTTAATACACTTCTGACTCTATTAAAATAGTGATGCAGGATATGTACAAATTACAAATTTTATTACTCTAGCCAACATGTTTCTCAGACTAACCCTACAGTCCTAAAAATAGGAAAACAAAGGGTGAAAAAAATGGACCGTTCATTTGGGACAAGTGATTAATTAAATTCATTTGTGATCAATGAGGTTCTGAGATCTGTATCTTCGTGTTAAATTTAGCCAGAGAAGAGTTGTAATTGAACAGTTTGTTATACTGCTGTATGTCACCCTCTTAATATAGTAAAGCTGTAATCAAAATGACATGCTATCTACAGTAACAACTCTAGTGGCTAAAGAACTACATGTGACATGACCAGGCTGAAAGTCCTATTGTGCAGAATTTCTTCACCATTTTAAAGCATCTCTTTAACACACACATATTTACACAGGAGATTACTCAATTCCTGACTTCTATACATAAATACACCTTGTTTAAACTGGTTTATGTGGAAATCGCTGTGAAATTTCAATTAAGTGCTCCATTTTTTTTACATGCTCCTACTTTGACATAAGTCAATTGCTAATCCAGCTGAGCATGTGATTGCAGCCATGTTGAATGGCATTAGGAAATAACCATTTAAAATAATGCTATACCTTGAAAATATATATTAGAATTTAAAATAGTCACAAACCACATAGTTTTTAAAGCAATGAGCAAAAAAGGAAACCCAAGTGTGATAAAAAACCAAGTGACAAGTTGACAGATGGGTTAAAACTTTCGTAAGCCATTAAGAACTACTTTGAAGATGCCCTGAAAAGGGCAGAAAACAAGGCAATTTCATCCTGGATGATGTGCATTTCAAAGCCCGTCAATACATTCTGAATGCAGTCACTTTATCACTTACCCTGTTAGGAACAATTCATTATAGACTGAACAATACTTGCGATAATAATATTTAAGGAGCGCCTATCAAAGGCCAGGCGCTGGACTAACCATGAATTTAACACATTCTATCTCTCTTATTCATGAACATTCAACCTCAGATGCGCATGCATCTGGAATGTGATGATGACTGTTTCCAGCACGTTTTTTAAAAGTACAATAGGAACATCAATATTAAGGCATAATAGTTAATTATTGGCCATGAGGGATAACCATTTCATCACATAGACTGCTAGTTATTCAGTAAGAGTTAGAGCTCAGAAAATGGATCTATCTCCCAAACTTTCCATAAGAGAAAAACAGATTGGTTTTTCCCATAGGAAAAAAAAAATGCACGCTGTCAGTTCCTACAGTGTGATGTTAGGTTTTCTTAGTACTTCGGGATACTCCAAATTTTGTATCCTGCCAACAAATCTAACTTCCAGTTTCTGTGGGAAACTGTTACAAGTTACAAACAAATGACTTCAAAATTTTGGAGTTACACTGTCTGATTCTAAATGACTAAAATCACTTATTCACAGAAAACTTCATGAATTTTTTACTTTTTAATCAGATGTTCCGACCTTCCTGAAGACAAAGAATCAAAATCTTTAACAATTATTTTGAATGTTTAATTAAGATGGGAACTTAGAGCCAACTTAAGGATGAACTGGCCTGATTTTTTTTTTAACTTAACCAACTAGATGGTTCTGTGATCTAAGTAATCCACAGCCAAAGATGGTTACAAGGCTAGCCACAGAGAAATTATTTTCAAAATCCTGTCAAGAAAGCAAGCAATAAATTTTTTAATTGTTTTTGTTATTCTCATTCTTCTTTACTGATGGAGAGGAACAACAGCTATCTAAATGGGTGAAACCTCATTCTTTTTATTGTCAATGCAAACTGTGGTACTAACTGACTTGAGCTGACATTTCAAAGAAACAATACTAAAGACCACTAATAAAACCTTCAAATAAATTTCA